GTCTACCTGGGACACACCTGAAGGGGCAGGACCCTGAGGGGGGAGGGGGTCTACCGGGGGGGGACCTGGTACAAGGAAGAGCGGTGGCGGGGGGAGGGACGGAGTGCGGTAGGGGAAGAGGCGGTAGTAGGGGACCGACTCGTCGAACGTGACGTCCTGGGAGGACAGAACACGGCGAGAGGTGGGGTGGTAGAACTGCCACCCTGGGGCGTCAGGGGGGAAACCCAGGAAGACGCAAGGAGCAGCACGAGGGGACAGCTTGTCCGCAGACAAGTCGCGGACAAACGCCCGAGATCCCCAGACACGGAACGCAGACGCATCGCCAACCTTCCCCGTCCACAGCAAAGCTGGGGAGGTCTCCGGCATGGAGACCCTGGGCTGAAGGTTGATCTGATGCGCCGCGTACCGAACCGCAAACGGCCACAGAAAATGGGGGGCAGCCGCATGCATCATGGACGTACGGGCGACGTCCATGACCATGCCAATGCGGCGCTCAGCAATCCCATTTTGCTGTGGAGAGTCCGGAAGCGTGAAGGTCTGGCGGATGCCTCGTGCACGACAGTAGGCTCGCAGAAGGCCAGAGGAGAACTCTCCGCCTCTGTCAGAGTGCAGACGCAGAACAGGAAAGTCCGAGCCAAAGCTCCGCCTGAGCTGGAGACGAGCTGCGCGGATCCAGTCGATCAACACCTCAGTGACATCACCCTTGCTGCGCAAGGGGAAGACTGTAGTGTAACGCGAGTAGTCGTCAACCACCAGCAGGAAGTAGCGCTCGTGACCCTGTCCACGGACGCGGGCCGGGCCCCACACGTCCATGTGAAGCGTCTGCAGCGGGGCCTCTGTCGGAGGAAACTGGGAGGAGTGAGGGGTAGCCCGCTGCCGTCCCTCGACACAGGGGACGCAGGTAGGGCCTGGCCCCGGAGGAAGGGGAGGGAGGGACCGGGGAAGACCAGAGACAAGGACACGGGAGGCCATGCTCCGGAGACGAAGCAGGGAGGGGTGGCCAAGGCGGTGGTGCCAGAGGAGAGTCTCGTGAGACAGGAGGCGACACGAGCAGGGGGCAGACTCAGGACCAGACCTGGACGCTGCAGCAAACACCTGACCCGACGCAGCTACCTGGCCAGACGCAGGGACTGGAGGAGACGCAGTGGTCAGTGTGTACAGGCTCGACCCTGGCCGACGTGTAAACGTGGCCAGGTGGCGGCCTGTCCGAGCGTCCGTGCAGTGGGTCACCCGCTGACTCGCAGGAGTGAACTGGTGAACCCCCGCATCCTGTAGGTCAGCACCACTCACCAAGTTCGTAGAGAACGAGGGGAGGTAGAGACCAGACAGGGTGCCAGAGGGGGCCGCCGGACACGGGAGGACAGTGGAGAAGTGAGCAAGGACAGGACCCCCAGAGGGGTCTGCCAGGGAGACCGCAACTGGCCGGCCAAGCGGCGTGAGTGTGGTGCGGTCTCGAAAGAAGGAGCGAGAAGCCCCCGAGTCAAGTGTGAAGGTGTGGGAGGCCGAAGCCGACGCAGAACCTGAGAGAGCAGACTCACCAGCACCTGAGGGAGTAGACGCACCTAGAGCAGCAGCCTCGCTAGCACCTAGAGCAGCAGCCTCACCAGTACCTAGAGCAGCAGTCTCAATGCCCGGGTCGGGCGGAAAACACCGGTAACAGTCACCCTCATCACTAATAGTCACAGTATACACGGCAGCAAGAATAGCATCAAAGTCAAGGTCAAAGACAGCTACACCCGCCCTAGACAGCTCACCCCAGCGGGGGATCTCAGTGGCCTCAGGGAACTGGTGACGCCAAGCGTCCGTGAGGCGGCCAAAGCAGCGCTGGGTGGAGTGCGCACCCCCGCACTGCTCACCCGCGCGGTCGCCGGTGCGCAGGACGTAGGTGCACGGACCAGCACCCCCACCCCTCTGGCGTGCAGTGTACCACTCACGGAGCTGCTGAGGGGAGGGGACGTCACGAGTGCGCTGCTGCTGCTGCTGCTGCTGCTGCTGCTGCTGGCGCTGACCACCACCGGAGCTGACCCTCTGCGCAGCGCCACCCCGACCAGCTCCACCTCCTCCGCCGCCTCCTCCTCCACCGCCGCCACCTCCGCTCCCTCCGCCACCGCCGCTGCCTCCTGCGCCTCCACTGCCGCCACCTACACCTCCACCCCCGCCACCACTCCCACCGCCACCACCACCTCCTCCACCACCTCCACCGCCGCCTCCACCGCCCCCGCTAGCTCCTCCAGCGCCCCTGCCCCCCTTGCCCCTGCCAGGGCGGCGTCTCCCGCTTGGGGTAGACGCTGCCCCAACCGACTCCAAACCAGCGAGGTCGGCCGCAGCAGCAGAGGCAACAGAGGGCAAAAGAGGGGAGGGGGAACACCCCTCAAATATGGGGGTGCGAGGGTCACCACGAGAGGCTCCTACAGCGACTATGCCCTTTTCTGCTGCTAGGAGGGCCTTCTCGAGGAGGTCAACGGTGAGAGTGGTGGGACAAACCGAGAGGAAGTGGTCCCTGACTACGCGAAGGGAGTCAGGGAGACGGGTGACGATGTAGTAGAGGGTGATGTACATGGGGGGGGGGTTCTTGGCGCAGAACTCAGCAGGAAGCGCAGCGCGGTAGCGAGTGTCACTAGTGCGGAGGTGCGTGATGAGGTCAGCGACTGTGGGAAAGGCAGCAAGGTCAGGGAAGAGGTACGGTAGCATGAGGCGGCTCAGTGCAGCAGTGGCAGGGGAGGAGTAGCGTGCAACTACAGCGTCGTACAAGGTCTGAGCACTCTTGTACTGGCTAAAGTGCGCACGCTCAGAGGTAGGCAGGTGGCGACGCACAGCAAGACGTGCAGCAGCATCGCGCGTGGCCCACTGGGAGCGAACAGTTGCGTCAGCATCAGTGGCGGGAGCAGGAGAGGCACCAGAAGTGAGGTCAAAGAGGGAGAGGCCGTCTGCCCTATCGCACTATAAGAAAAGCTGCAGGTCATCTATCCAGACGTCAAAGTCAATGGCCCGACCCTCAGCGTCAAAAGCGAGGACACTAGGGGTAGCCATGACAGTAGTAGACTAGCAGCGCAAACAGTGGGGTGAGGGCAGTGCTGTGAGAGAGGCGCTGCTCTTACCGGACAGGGCGGCTCGGGCGGCTCGGCTGCAGGGCGGCTCGGCGACTCGGCTGCTGGGCGGCTCGGCTGCTGGGCGGCTCGGCGGCTCGGCTGCTGGGCGGCTCAGCGACTCGGCTGCTGGGCGGCTCGGCGGCTCTGCTGCTGGGCGGCTCGGCTGCTGGGCGGCTCGGCGGCTCGGCTGCTGGGCGGCTCGGTGGCTCAGCTGCTGGGCGGCTAGGCTGCTGGGCGGCTCGGCGGGGCCGCTGAGAGGGCGGCGTCCGGGGCCGCTGGGAGGAGGCGGCGGGGCCGCTGAGAGGAGGCGGCGGGGCCGCTGAGAGGAGGCGGCGGGGCCGCGTCAGGGGCCGCGGCAGGGGCCGCGTCAGGGGCCGCGTCAGGGGCCGCGGCAGGGGCCGTAGCAGTGGGGGGTCGCGCGTTTCTCCCCAGGGCGCCGCGACGGACGGGCGGGGGCAGCGCGCGGCTCCCCAGGGTGCCGCGACGGACGGGCGCGGGCAGCGCGCGGCTCCCCAGGGTGCCGCGACGGACGGGCGGGGGCCGCGCGCAACTCCCCAGGGCGCCGCGACGGACGGGCGGGGGCCGCGCGCAACTCCCCAGGGCGCCGCGACGGACGGGCGGGGGCAGCGCGCGGCTCCCCAGGGTGCCGCGACGGACGGGCGGGGGCAGCGCGCGGCTCGCCAGGGGGCGCCAGGAAGAAGAAAGGGCCGCGCGCCCCCCGGGCGCGCGCCACACAGGAAAACCGCCGCGCGCATCAGACGCGCGGCGGGAAGAAAAAATTTCGCCGCGCGCGGAGCGCGCGGCAGGATGATAGGGTAGCGCGCTCGGGGCGCGCGACAGCAGTAGAGCAGCGGAAGCTTTAGGTGGTGGGCCCACCCACAGGATCGACCCAGGAGGGTCGACCTGCTCTGATAGCATGTCAGAACTAGCAGTCAGAAACAAGAATGAAGAAAGGAGGATGTTCACTAGCAAGCAGTTGGATACATATAGCAAACCCTAATTGGGCTGTACTCACTATGGAGTACCCCACTGCAGGCTAGACAATTATAACATTCTGACACGGACTTCTCCTACAAGCGGTGCAGGGGCTGTGGAAGGATGGGGCACATCGAAAAGCAGTGCCGTGACCAGAACGCAATCAAGTATTCTGGGAAACCTAAGCCAGGCGGCGCTGGACCTTTGGGAAAAAAGGATTTTTAGAAGCCCAACTAAGGTGTGGGTACCTAGTTGGAGGAATAGATCGAGTGGATGAGGCATATGTGCTGTTTGATGATGATATATCAAAGCTAGAGAAGCTTGCTGATTGCAAAATCTCTTGTTTGTTTGCCTCTTCTTTATATAAAAACTCGTTTTTTTACCCTCGATCGTACCCACTTGAGAGAATTTCAATGGAAGCAATGCAGGACAATTTTTCAATTATTTTCTGTGGCTTGGACATTCTGCCTTCTGTCATTGAAATTGTGAGTCGTTGCACTCAAGAGCACCCCCTGACTTCGGTCGCGTTGGTGACTCGCACTGTGCAAGGGGAATTGTTCCATGCGCTTCGTGGATGGCCGGTCCTGGCGGCGTAGGACGAGGGACACCATGTATGGTGGACCAACTCTCAGTCACATGGATGTGCTCGTCACAACGTCAAGGTGTATTTCAAACCTTCGACGAATATTGGGCATGTCCTATTCGTCCAAAGCATCAACAAAATTTGTTGCTTGCGGGTAGCGTGAACGGTGAAAACGCAAAAATCCTTGTTGACGCGGGTGCAACTGTTTCACTCTTTGACGAAAAGTGGGCCACAGCACGCATGATCCTCGTTGAAGGACTTTCTTGCCCCATTCGCCTTCGTGATGATAGCATCATCCCAAGCAAAGGGCGGACACGGATCAACATGGAGAATGAGGGTTATCACGAAGAGATATGCGCGTATGTTTTACCCCTTCTCGCAGGCATCGACCTTGTCCTTATGGTGAGGGCCGCTGTGTGGTCGGCGGCAGGGTGACCACAGCGCTTGTGTTCGTACGCTCAGCTGCCAACAAGCAAGGCCAAGCAAGCCTTCGGGACAACTGCTTCAGTGTGGGCGAGGAGCAGAGCTGCATGGCAAGCGAGACGCAGCGCAGTGCAGCCGAGTGCGGTGGCTTCTGCAGCTTGTCGGAGGAGCTGGGGCCGTGCGACGGGCACGGCGCATGTGTGTCGGCGGTGCAAACGGCAGGGCCGGGGGAGGGGTTCGTGTGTGAGTGCGAGGAGGGATACGTGGCGGTAAACAGCAGCTCTGGACCCACGTGTTCTCGCCCGCCCCCGCCCCCCTCCTCATGTATGTATGTGTGCTGAGGGCATGGTGGAGTGAGGTACATGATGAGGCCGAGACATCCAGCATCTTGAGTGTATGGCATGTGGTTTGTATCACATGTGTGTACAGTAGATGGTGTCTCTGGCATGTGGTGTGTACGGCATCTGGTGTAGTATGTGGCATGTTTTGTGCTTGGCCTATGGTGTACTCTGGTCTTCTAGAGAGTACGAATTAACAAAGTCTACTGAATACTCAAAGCTGCTTGCAAATAGCGTTCTCATTGCCTTTCAAGCAGCTGCATTGCTGTTTGGCAGCATGTGCATGATCACCCTCCACTGGCTTATGAGCCCAGCAGAGTGCTTGTGGTAGCACAGTGAAATTGGTTCTGTGGGAGGTGATGTTCAGGACACTGGAACCATACGACCTCAGCCACACTTTTCCCGGGCTGGGATGGAGAGGATGGGACCCAGAAAGAGCATCCCTAACGCACGAAAAGTCTCCTTCTCGACCTCCATCTTCGATGCAAATCCCCCCCACATTCTTGACTCGACCCTACGTTTTAACTTCAACCCTTCCCATCCCATCCCCTCCAGCGCTCTCCACCAGCGCACTGGCGGGCATCGCCGTGGGCTCTGCTGCTGCTCTTGCCCTCCTCCTCGCTCTCATCGTCGTCGTGATCTGGCCCAAACAGCGCAGTCAGCCCCTTCCACTTTCTCCTAATGTCCGGTTTTTTTATTCTCCCTTCGTTTTATTCACGCTTCCTCCCACCGTCCCTTCCTTCCGCTTTCCCTCCCACTTTCCCTGCCCAATTTCCCTCCCTCCCACTTTCCCTTCCTCCCACTTGCTCTTGATCCCATTTGCCCTTGCTCCCCCCATCTCTTCCTCCCCCTGTCCCTTCCTCCCCTCCTCCCTTCCCTCCCTCCTCATGATGTCTCCGGTTTCCTGCCTCCCGCGCGCCCCCCGTCGACCCTCGCGTCGCCCCCGCTGGACCCGCGACGCCCTGCGGGACCCGCGCGCTGCCCCTGTGGAGCCGCGCGCGCTGCACCGTGGACCCGCGCGCTGCCCCGTCGACCAGCGCGCCGCCCCGTGGGAGTCGCGCGCGCCCCCCGTCGACCCGCGCGTCGCCCCAGGGGACCTGCGCGCGCGGCCCCGTCGACCCGCGCACTGCCCCCGTCGACCAGCGCGTCGCCCCAGGGGACCCGCGCGCCCTGCCCTGTGGACCCGCGCGCGCTGCCCTGTGGAGCCGCGCGACGCCCCCCCTCCTTCCCCGTTGTCTCTCTGCTGCGTGTGCAGCAGTGGGGGAGGGTATGGGGGTGACGGGTGTGTGAGGCGTCCCCTGCTCCTCCTCCTCCTCCGTCTCCCACTGCTGCAGCTGCCGCTGAGGGGGGTGGGTGTGTGGGAGCCGAAGGAGTGGTGCTAGGGGGGTGACATGGGAGTGGAGCTAGAGGTGCAGCAAGGGGTGTGTGAAAGGGGGTGGGACAGTTGGGGGAGGTTGAGCGGAGGTAGCCGTCGTGTCGCCAGCAGCGCCAGTAGTCCGGAGGCTACAATCTCCGGTAGTCGCCAGTCGCCCGTGGGTCAGTTGCTCCAGCCGCTCGGCGTAGCCGCGGAGCCAGTTACTCCTGTAGTCCGGGCCATTGCTTCGGTAGCCACTGAGCCAGCCGCTCCTGTGTGTCTGCAGCTTCCGCTGTCGCCTCCCATCTCCTCTCCTCTCACAGTCCCTCCTCCTCCTCACTTGCCCTTTGTGAATGCCTCTAGCTTTGCTTGTACTTGTGAACCTGCTCTATGACTGTTTGTTGTGCTGATCATACCCCACTTTGACTATTGGGGGTGTGTCAGAATGTTATATTTCTCTAGTCTGCAGTGGGGTACTCTATAGTGAGTACAGCCCTGTTAGGGTTTGCTATATGTACTCAACTGCCTGCTAGTGAAACATCCTCTTCTGTTCATTCCTCGGTTCTATCTTTCACATTGTTGTCCCTTACGTTACGTTGCTCCATTCGCAAATGAGGTGGAGCGGCCTGGACGTCTTTTGAGGCGCCTCAAAAGGTGTCTCTTGCTCTGTCTCAATCATTGTCCCTTATGTTGCTCCACCTGCCAGGGAGGTGAGCCGGCCTGGACGTGTGTAGGGAGTTCAGCATGGCTGACATCCTACGTGCCACGGACAACTGGGCGAGTGCCAACGTGCTGGGGAAAAGGGGCTTCGCCACCGTCTACAAGGGCATGGCACCCACTGGCCAGCTGTGGGCCATCAAGCGCATCAGCCTCATGTCCAACGACTTTGAGAACGAGGTGGGGGGACAGGGCTTGCAGAGTTGTTGACTTTTGAGGCGTCTCAAAAAGGGGGCAAAATGAACCCTATATCATTCCACAGAGCTCGTTTTCCATCCAATTAACTCAACCTTAACGAGAGCACCACAATATGGTCAGAGTAACCCCCACTCTTCTTCCTGCTCCCCTGCCCGTGGCAGGTGCGGGCGATGGCGTCGCTGCAGCATGAGAATGTGGTGCGGCTGATGGGCTTCTGCCTGCACCAGAGTGTGGAGAGCGGGCGGCAGGAGCAGGTGCTGGTGTACGAGTATGTGCCCCATGGGGACCTCAAGCACCACATCCACCACTCCAAGTGTGAGTGCCGAAGGTCCCTTTGTGCGCTGAGTGTATCGGACCATAGCCTGTGCATGGAGAGCAAGATTGGACGTAGGTTCTTGTACCATGTGCCACACGGGGACTTCAAGGATCCATCCGCCACGCCAAGTGCGCGTGCCCTGCAATGGCCCTGTACCGGCTGCTCTCCTGTTGCATGTTGCGTGTTCCTCACATCCCCCATAACATGTCACTCGTGACATGTCGCTTGCACCATGTCCCATGCCCTTTATAACACCTGCTTTCTGCCTTCTGCATGCCTTGTCGTGTCAATGCATACCTTGCATTGCACAAGCACTAACTGAATTCACATCCACTTCACGCAATCACTCACTTTGCCTCATAGCGCAGACCAACTTTCTTTCTTCTCTCCTCCCTGCTCAACTCCCTGTTTATGCTCCACCTCCCCTCTTACTTTACCGCCTTGTCACTTTCCCCCACCTCTTCTCACTCTCGTCTCTCCCTCCTCCAACTGTTCCGTTTCCTCCGCAGCCCCACTGACCTTGCAGCAGAGGCTGAAGCTGGCAGCGGGGGCAGCGGAGGGAGTGGCGTACCTGCACAGCTTCACGACGCCCATCATCCACCGCGACCTCAAGCCGGGCAACATCCTTGTGGGCCCCCACAGCCGCGCCAAGATCGCCGACTTTGGGCTGCTCAAGCTGCTCAGCCACGCTGACGGGGGCGACGAGCGCACGCGCGTGGCAGGCACCCCGGGGTACCTGTATCCGGACTACAACCGCACCCACGTGGTGTCAGAGAAGAGTGACGTCTACAGGTACACCCGCTGCAAGGGTCTGTTAGGGTCTTGGAAATTATATTTGAAAGTTCCGGAGCTGATTATTGTTGCAGACAGGGGTTGTATGAAAAGCATTTCATCCGCAGGTGCGCTCATGTCTGTAGTGCCGAATTGAAGTTGCGCTGTCTTGGCATGGGTAAAGTAAAACAGCTGTTATCATTTACTCACCTATTATAATGTACCTGCTGCTTGCATGCTTTCAGCAAAGGCCTGTGTTGTAGAGTATCCAGAGCCAATCAATAGCCTTGTCTTGCTACTGCTTTTGGCATCACCTTCATCCCCTCGCCTGCTCTGGCTGTGCAGCTTCGGGGTGGTGCTGCTGGAGCTGCTGCAAGGCAGCAGTGGAGGGCACCGACAGCCACATCAGCGACTGGGTCAGTCACACATGCATTGCAGTTGATCAGATAAAGATAGTGGAATGCAGGTTAACCCCCTACGTTGTGAAAGAACAAGGAATGAATTGACTAGTGGGAGGATTGGATACAAGTACAAACCCTAGAAATGTGTTGTATCCCATATGTGCTACCCCACTATAGCCTACATAGGCTAAGCCATATAAATCTGACACACCCCCATAGGCAAAGTGGGGGAGAACTAGGGGTCACAAGACCAGTCAAGCAAAGCAAAGCAAACACGCTCAGGGTCAGTGACAGCAGTAGCCAGGAGACGCGTGACAGTAGGACTGGCAGCACGAAGAGAGTCAGACTCCGGGTCAGCAAGAGCAGGAAGAGAGGACTCTGGAGGAGACGGCAAGGGGACTCGCAGAGGAGCAGTGGAAGGACGCAGTGCCATCTGGTGCGTGCCCGGAACCGCAGGAGGACGCTGACGCGGAACACGGCGACCGGTGCGAACAGCACGAACAGGCGACGCTGGACGCGACTCAGGCTCACGACGCTCAGCAAGACCTCCAGTAGGACCAGTGTAGGGAGAAGGGGCAGGCAGTGGACAGGCGAGCTGTAACTGTGACGCGGACGGGGCGGGCTGTGGACACTCTAAGGCAGGAGAAGGACCAGAAGAAGGCGGAAGGCCAAGAACCTGCTCAAGGAGCGGAACGAAGTACGGCCAAGGCCACGCAGCACCTCCAGAACTAGCGGGGACAGCACCAGCACCCCCAGCGGCAGCTCCGACTCCAGTAGCACCACCAGCTCCAGTAGCACCTCCAGCAGCACCAGCAGTGCCAACTCCAGTACCCCCAGGAGCACCAGCTCCAGCAGCACCTCCAGCTCCAGAACCTCCAACTCCAGCTCCAGCAGCAGGAGGACCACCAGAAGACGCAGCAGCTCCGGCTCCCGCACCCCCAGCAGCGCCTACTCCAGTAGCACCGCCAGCTCCAGCACCAGTAGAACCACCAGGCCCAGCAGCTCCAGTACCTCCAGTACGAGCACCTCCGGGACCCGTGGCTCCAGCACCCCCAGCAGCAGTAGAACCACCAGCACCAGCAGCAACACCAGCTCCAGCAGCACGACTCCAACGCCGAGCAAACCACTCGCGCAGCTCCTGTGGAGAGGGTAGCTCCCGCCGAGGCGAAGCACCCGAAGGACCTCCAGGCTCCGCACCCCCAGGCTCCGCACCCCCAGACTCAGCAACCCCAGGCTCAGCACCCCCAGACCCAGCACCCCCAGTCCCAGCACCCCCAGTCTCCGCACGCTCAGGCTCAGCACCCCCAGACCCGGCACCCGCAGGCGCAGCACCCCGAGCAGCACCAGAGTCAACAGCTACCTCGACAGGCTCGACTGCGTCTACCTGAGACACACCTGAGGGGGCAGGACCCTGAGGGGGGAGGGGGTCTACCGGGGGGGGACCTGGCACGAGGAAGAGCGGCGGGGGGGGGAGGGGGGCAGCGCGGTAGGGGAAGAGACGGTAGTACGGAACCGACTCGTCAAACGTGACGTCCTGGGAGGACAGAACACGGCGCGAGGTGGGGTGGTAAAACTGCCAACCAGGCGCGTCAGGGGGGAAGCCAAGGAAGACGCAAGGAACAGCACGGGAGGACAGCTTGTCCGCAGACAAGTCTCGGACGAACGCCCGAGATCCCCAGACACGGAACGCACACGCATCGCCAACCTTCCCCGTCCACCGCAGGGTGGGGGAGGTCTCCGGCAATGAGACCCGGGGCTGAAGGTTGATCTGCTGCGCCGCGTACTGAACCGCGAACGGCCACAGAAAATGGGGAGCAGCCGCATGGATCATGGACGTACGAGCGACGTCCATGACCATGCCAATGCGGCGCTCAGCAATCCCATTTTGTTGTGGATAGGCCGGAAGCGTGAACGTCTGGCGGATGCCCCTCGCACGGCAGAAGGCTCGCAGAAGGTCGGAGGAAAACTCTCCACCTCTGTCGGAGTGCAGACGCAGAACAGGAAAGTCCGAGCCAAAACTCCTCCTGAGCTGGAGACGAGCAGCGCGGATCCAGTCGATCAACACCCCAGTGACCTCACCCTTGGTGCGCAAGGGGAAGACTGCGGTGTAACGCGAGTATTCGTCAACCACCAAGAGGAAGTAACGCTCGTGACCCTGTCCACGGACGCGGGCTGGGCCCCACACGTCCATGTGAAGAGTCTGCAGCGGAGCCTCTGTCGGCGGAAACTCAGAGGAGTGAGGAGCGGCGCGCTGCCGCCCCTCGACGCAGGGAACGCAGGTGGGGGCAGGCCCCGGAGGAAGGGGAGGGAGGGACCGGGGGAGACCAGAGACAAGGTAACGGGAGGCCATGCCTCGGAGACGAGGCAGGGAGGGGTGACCAAGGCGGTGTTGCCAGAGGAGAGTCTGGTGAGACAGGAGACGACACGAGCAGGGGGCAGATTCAGGACCAGACCTGGACGCTGCAGCAAACACCTGACCCGACGCAGTCACCTGACCAGACGTAGCAACCGGAGGAGACTCAGTAGTCAGTGTGTACAGGCTCGACCCCGGCTGACGGGTAAACGTGGCCAAGTGTCGGCCCGTCCGAGCACACGTACAGTGGGTCACTCGCTGACTCGCAGGAGTGAACTGGTCAACCCCCCCATCCTGTAGGTCAGCACCACTCACCAGGTTCGTCGAGAACGAGGGGAGGTAAAGACCAGACAGGGTGCCAGAAGGGGCCGCCGGACACGGTAAGACAGTGGAGAAGTGGGCAAGGACCGGACCCCCAGAGGGATCTGCCAGTGAGACTGCAACCGGCCGACTTAGCGTCGTGAGTGTGGTGCGGTCTCGAAAGAAGGAGCGGGAAGCACCCGAGTCGAGGGTGAAAGTGTGCAAGGCCTGAGCCGACGTGGTACCTGAGAGAGCAGACTCACCAGCACCTGGGGCAGCAGACTCACTAGCACCTAGAGCAGCAGCCTCACCAGCACCTAGAGCAGCAGCCTCAATGCCCGGGTCAGGCGGAACACACAGGTAACAGTCACCCTCATCACTAGTAGACACAACATACAGGGCAGCAAGAATAGCATCATAATCCAGATCAAAGATAGCAACCCCCGACCTAAGCAGCTCGCCCCAGCGGGGGATCTCAGTGGCGTCAGGGAACTGGAGACGCCAAGCGTCCGTCAGGCGGCCGAAGCAGCGCTGGGTGGTGTGCGGACCACCGCACGGCTCACCAGTGCGGTCGCCGGTACGCAGGACGTAGGCACAAGGACCAGCACCCCCACCCCGCTGACGGGCAGCGTACCACTCACGAAGCTGCTGGGGGGGCGGGGTCTCACGAGTGCGCTGCTGCTGCTGGCGCTGACCACCACCAAAGCCACCCCGCTGCACAGAGCCACCCCGACCCGCTCCACCGCTGCCGCCGCCACCTCCACCGCCACCGCTACCTCCTCCTCCGCTCCCACCGCCACCGCCGCCGCCGCCTCCGCCTCCACCACCGCCACTGAAGCCCCCACCCCCGCCACCACTCCCACCGCCACCCCCACCCCCTCCGCCGCCTCCACCGCAACCTCCACCGCCCCCGCCAGCTCCTCCAGCGCCCTTGCCCCCCTTGCCCTTGCCGGTGCGGCGTCTCCCGCTAGGGGCAGACGCAGCGCCGACCGACTCGGTGCCAACGAAGTCGACGGCAGCAGCAGAGGCAACAGAGGGCAAAGGGGGGGAGGGGGAGCACCCCTCAAAGAAGGGGGAACGCGGGTCACCACGAGAGGCTCCTACAGCGACTATACTCTTCTCAGCTGCCAGGAGGCGCTCCTCGAGGAGGTCAACGGTGAGTGTGGTGGGGCAAACAGAGAGGAAGTGGTCCCTGCCCGAGCGAAGGGAGTCAGGGAGCCGGGTGACTAGGTAGTAGAGGGTGATGTACATGGGGGGGGGGTTCTTGGCGCAGAACTCAGCAGGAAGCGCAGCGCGGTAGCGGGCGTCACTAGTGCGAAGGTGCGTAATGAGGTCAGCGACTGTGGGAAAGGCGGCGAGGTCAGGGAACAGGTACGGCAGCATGAGGCGGCTAAGGGCAGCAGTGGCAGGGGAAGAGTAGCGTGCAATTACAGCGTCGTACAAGGTCTTAGCACTCTTGTACTGACTAAAATGCGCGCGCTCAGAGGACGGCAAGTGACTACGCACAGCAAGACGGGCAGCAGCATCGCGTGTGGCCCACTGTGAGCGAACAGTGCTGTCAGCATCGGCAGCAGGGGCAGTAGAGGCGCCAGACGTGAGATCGAACAGTGAGAGACCGTCTTTCCTATCGCACTGTAGGAAAAGCAGCAGATCATCGACCCAGACCTCAAAGTCGACAGCCCGACCCTCAGCATCAAAGACGAGGACGCTAGGGGTAGCCATGACAGCAGTAGCAGCAGGCTAGGGGCAGTAGCAGCAGGGTAGGGGCAGCAGCAGCAGGCTAGGAGCAGTGCAGTCGCAGAGGCTCGGCTCGGCGGTGCTCTTACCAGGACGAGTGGGTAGAGTGCCGTAAGTGGCGGGGCAGGGCCGAGGCGCGCCGGCAGGGACAAGGCCGCGACAGCTGCAGCTGCTCCTGCTGTTGGCTGCGGCGGCTGCTGCGGCCTTGGTAGCAGCGGGGGCAGCTGTCACGGCAGCGGCGGCGGCGGCTGCTCCAGGCGGTGATGGCGGCGGCCGCGGCTCCGGCAGCTGCGGCGGCGGCTTCTGCTGTCAGCGGCGGCGGCGGCTGCTGCTGTCACTGCACCGGCGGCAGCGGCTCCTGCTGTCGGCGGCGGCGGCGGCTGCTGCAGTCGGCGGCTGCTGCTGTTCGCGGAGGAGCCGAGAAGGGGCCGCTAAGGGCGGCGAAGGGGCCACGAAGGGCCGTGGAGGGGCCGCGAAGGGCGGTGACGGGGCCGAGACGGGACCGTGAGGGGCCGCGAAGGGCGGCGACGGGGTTGAGAAGGGGCCGTGAGGGGCCGCGAAGGGTGGCGACGGGGCCGAGAAGGGGCCGCGAAGGGCGGCGACGGGGCCGTGAGGGGCCGCGAAGGGCGGCGACGGGGCCGTGAGGGGCCGCAAAGGGCGGCGACGGGGCCGAGAAGGGGCCGCGAAGGGCGGCGACGGGGCCGAGAAGGGCGGCGTCGGGGCCGCGAAGGGCGGCGACGGGGCCGCGAAGGGGCCGCGAGGGGCCACGAGGGGGCCGCGAGGGGCCGGAAGGGGCCGCGAAGGGCCGTGAGAGGGGCCGCGAGGGGCCGCGGAGGGGCCGCGAAGGAGCCGCGAAGGGGCCGCGAGGGGCCGTGAGAGGGGCCGCTACGGGGCCGTAAGAGAGCGCGACGGGCCGCTAAGGGCAGGGGACGTGACGGGAGGGTAGGAACACGGGGCGCGACTCGGGTAGGGGCGGAGCGCGCTCCGGGCAGGAAAAAAAAAATCGATTTTCGGTGGGCCCTAGGAAACGTTCCCACTAGGGAACCTGCTCTATACCATGTAAAAGAACAAGGAATGAATTGACTAGTGGGAGGATAGAATACAAGTACAAACCCTAGAAATGTGTTGTATCCCATATGTGCTACCCCACTATAGCCTACATAGGCTAAGCCATATAAATCTGACATACGTAACCTTGCTTCGCTGTTCACCTTGTCACTCACACTCGCCGCAACAACCATCTTCTCAATTGCTTGCTCTACCTCATAGCACGTGCTGCAGGCAGTCGAGAAGTGCAGCTGAACGAGCTGAGTGTGCCCAAGGACCCCACGCTGGATGCTCTATATAACGCCCTATTACTCCTCCCTCATTTCCCTCTTTGCGCCTGCTGCAGGCGGCGCAGAAGGTACAGCAGTACGAGCTGGGTGTGCTCCAGGACCCCACGCTGGAAGCGCCAGATGAAGCCATCGTTGATTTTGCAGACGTGGCGCTGGACTGCCTCAAGATGCCCGCCTCCCGCCGCCCCTCCATGCGCGAGGTTGCCCGCCGCCTGCACGGCCTGCTGGCCCAGTACTGCACTGATGACGGGCCCGAGGATTCCCAAGCCAGCCCGCGTGTGGAGAGGGAGAGGGCGTTCGTTGGTGCTGGTGGTGGTGAGAACAGCACCACGGGGTTGTTTGACAGCAGCTTGTGGTCCGAGGGGCTGATCGAATGATGGGTTGATGCTACTGTGCGCTGATATTTAGAGATTGAGTGCTTAACCTTATTTTCTGACAAAGAAGTCACCCACAAGCACATACACACATACTGGACGATGTAGTCTTCGTGTAATATTCACTGTTTCAATCTTCATGGTGCTTTATACTTACGGGTCTTATGTACGGGGGATTATAGTAGATTACACCGTTGTGAATAACAGAACAAAACCCCCCTAATACCACAGCTACCAGTTTGCGTGCGGTCTTATGGTTCCACCATTAAAGCACCTTACAATTCGGCACCCCATGCCGAATAACCCATACGATGCATGCATTCCTGCATCAATCATCATCCCATTCTGAGTCAATCTCGATCCAAGCCCGTGGAAGCCCACGCAACGTTCTCTCCACGAACCCGCAGCCCCCTACCCTAAGCCGAGTCACCTTCTTCCCTTCCAGGACTGGCAGCAGCCACGCATGCTGCATGTTGTTGCAGCCCAGATCCAGCTCCCTTAGCGCAGGAACGCAACTGAGATGCTGCACAAACAGCCTACTCATGCTGCTGCACTGCTGCAGCTTCAACCGCTCCAGCCGCTCAAGTGCTTGCAAGTGCACCGCAACGCCTTGGCTGATGGACGTTCCCGATAGGTCCAGTAACTGCAGCTGAGTCATGCCTTGGACCACCAACCTCACAGCTCGGTCGGCTGCGAACGTGCAGGCAGCCAGGCTGAGGTCGGTGAGCAGCGAGAGGCGTGTCAAGCACAGCACGTCAGAATCGTCAAGCAGAGTGGCGGTGATGCGGAGGGTTCTGAGCTGCCCCATGTTGGAGACGGATCTCACTGCTGTGCTGCTGTGCTCGGCTGCGTGCACCTCCAGGTGCTGCAGGCCCAGCAGGGCACCTACCACCTCCCATATGCTCCCGTCGATGCGGTTGCCGGGGTCTTCACTTGCAGCGGCAGTTCCTTTCTTGGGAGGCCGTTGGAAGGTTCTGGCGATCTCTGGAAGGCGGAATTCGTGCAAGTGTAGCTTGAGGCCGAAATGGTGGTGCAGGAAGTCTTCTCCAAAGTGGCGGTCGTTTGATCCCAAGCTCTTGAGGATGATTGTTGGCGCCACTAGCAGCCTCTTCAGGTTCACCAGTCCCCTGAGATGCATCCATCCCCTAGAACTCACCCTCGTGCTGCACGTGCAGGAGAAGACCTCAAGGCTCGCCAGCACGCCCACCTGCTGCAGAATAGAGTCGGTCACGCGGCTCACATGCAGCTCCCTCAAGCTCTCAAACGGCTGAAATGGCTGGAGTTGGGGCCGAAGCTGAGAAACCACCCAACTGATTCGTAGGGTAGCACTCTGCATCCTTTCAGGGCGGACGCGCAGTAAACTATCGATTCTTCTCCGCAGCCGCGCCCTCACCTCTGCTTCGCTTGCTCTCCCACCCACCGGCGGCCACTGGTGCGTCGTCCTCACCTGCGTCCCCTCTGCTCTCCCCGCCCTGCCTCCCCTTCCTCCCCTGTTTGCCTGCCTCTCCTTCACATTCGTTGTAACAGCTCCTTCTTAATCCACCCCTGCTCCCTCATTGCTGCCTGCACTGTCAACGGCAGAGATGAGTGGCTGGCATGCATCGGAGGCGGAATGGGGGAGGGGTGGATAGGGGCAAGAGGGAAAACGCGGAGAGAATGGGGAGGTTTGCGATCAGGGCAAGCGTGGAATGGAGGGATAACGAGAGGGACATGCAGTCACGAATGGCTGGCTGCACAACCGCCCCCCAGTCGCCCCTCTTTCCTCGCCCGCTCACCTGCACGATGGAAAGATTGTCAAACACCTCCTCGCGCACAGCTACCTCTCCTGCAACCGCTTGCCTCATTGACTGTCTCTCCACAGTGGCCGGTCGCCCCTCCCCTGTCCCTTGCTCTGTCCCTTGCCCTGTCTCTTGCCCTGCCCCTTGCTCTGCCCCTTGCCCTGCCCCTTTCTCTGCCCCTTGCTCCGCCCCTTGCTCTGCCCCTTGCTCTGGTCGTTGCTCTACCCCTTTCCCTGCCCCTTGCTCTGGGTCTTGCCTTGCCCGTTGCCCTGCCCTCTGCTCTGCACCTTGCTCTACGCCTTGCTTTACCCCTTGCTCTGCTGACCCTGTACCCCGCCTTCCCTCTCCCTCTGCTTCGTTTTCGTGCTCCTTCTCTGCCTCGTCGCGTGCTCCTTCCTCTTGCTTGAACCCTGACCCTGCCCCGAACCCTTGCTTCCGAGTCTCGTTCTCGGAACCCGCAAGCCCATCTCCCATCGGCTCATCCATTCTCTTGGTCGTTTCTTCCGCATCGTCCCTCACCCTCTCCTCCTGCACCTCCCCTCTCTCCTCGTTCTCCTTTTCCCGCAGCTTCTCCCCCCTTCCCTCTTTCTCCTCTTGCATTCTGTCCGCATGAACCGTCTGGACCTCAAGTTCGAACACCAGCCTCCGCACTCCCTGCACCATTGAACGGATGGCCTCTGCATGGGCAGATAGAGCCGCCAGATTCTGCCACGTGGGTGAGCCAACGAAGGGGGTTAGGACGCGGTGCAAGTGCAAATATCGCAGGATCGTCTGCAAATATCGAGCCCCACAATCGAGTGAGCAGATCGATTGGCGAAACGTGGCGACCGCGACGTTGTAACGATTGCCCCTTTAAAATTGACAGATCTCCAGCGATCAGTGATCAGTCGCATTCGCACACTGTAGAGAAATTTTGGCAAACAAACGTACTGTAGCATGGTTACAACGTAGTAAATAGGGTAACGAATCCGCACATCGATCGCGACTGACGATCGATCGTCTACTTTTACCGCGTCCTTAGGGAGGGAAAGGGTGTGCAGGAATTGTTTCCTTGGCTCGAGTTTGCAAACCTGGCTTGCACGACAGGACACGAGGTCGGTCCGACGCCTGTCCACCTCACTCCCTGCACTTCTGACCGTGTCGTCTGCATCGGCAGAGTGGGTTGCTACATGCTGCAAGATATGAGGGTATGAGGAACAGGAGGAGTGGAGGGAGGGAGTGTGATGAGTGGTGCAGAGGTGGAGAGCGGATGAGGGGGTGCGGAAGAGGGAAGAGGCTTATCAGATCCTGTCAGATGGTGCCTCTTCTGAGAATTCTCAAAAGATCCTGTCAGATGGTGCCGGACAGAAATATGAAGAAGGGGGGAAGGAAGCAAGGGTGTGGCGCACAGAGAGTAGTGGGGTATAAAGGACGGGAAAAATGAAGCCATGCTCCAGGGAAAGAGGGAAGATGGGGAGGTGAGAAAGGCGATGCCGATCGCAAAGAAGGAGGTATGCATGGATGGGCAGGAGGAGAGTTGGATGGCGTGCATTGCAGATGGGGACAAAGGCATGCTAGGGCATTACATCATGGCATGGCAATAGTCGTGCGCGCACCCGGTCTTACGGTACGGATGTGTAATACAGGGCATGGGGTTGCACGTGCGACATGCATGGTGAGATGTGTGTAGGGCATGGCATGGCATCGCATGTCGTGGCAAGGCATCGCATAACTTGGCACACCATGGCATGGCATGATGCAGCGTGGTGTGGCCTAACGTGCGTGGAGCATGTCGTGCGCACTCACCTCCATCATCATCATCGGATGAGAGGGCGAGCCATCTGCCATGCGAGCGCGCTTGCGCGTTCCATCGGCCCGGGACAGCACCGCTTCCTTCAGCCACTCCTCGCGAAGCTCGGCAGCCAGCGACGACATGGCGCCTACCTTGCGCGCAATCCACTCCTCCAGCTCCCCCATCGCCATCTCGCCCTCCCTCAACACTCCTTCCAGCTCCTCCTCCCGCCGTGTAATGCGCCACCTAACGGCTACTACTCTTTCCTAGTCTTGGTCGAGAAGTCTCTCAACAGAATTGGACTACGGGAGTTGAAGGTTGGGTTGGGAGAGAAAGGTTGGCTTGGGATTCCAACCCTCAACTTTGAGGCTTGGAACTTTCCAACCCAACAAATGTGAAGATTGAAATGTTGGATTTCCAACCAATAAGAACTTGCCAGTTGTGGTTACAATCCAAACAAACAACAAAGCAACCATACAAATCTATTAAGTTGGGTTTTTCCAACCAAACAAATCTGCCACCTAGGCTCCAAGCCTGTGAGCTCCCCAACCATGGAAGCCATGGTTGGGAAGAGCCCCCAAGAGGTATTGTGGAAGGGGTGGGAGCTAGCAAGCTCATTCCCACTTCCCAACTCCAACCTACCAATTTGGAAATGGGATTTCTCTAAGTCTTTTGGTTCTCCTAACAAACTCTCTTACACAACTAGAACTACCTACTTGCTAAGGCTTCACCAACAACTACAACTTCTCCTCTCAAGATCCTTCAAGTTTAGTCTAAAGCTTGTTTATCCCTTAGTGAGATTAGCTAGATATTTTAAAGCCTTGTAACTTTGATCTTATATATAATTTCAATTATGATTCTTCATTCACACACGGTTGCCCGTTGTTATAAGGGCCGTGGTTGTTACATTGGTATATAGAGCTAGGGTTATCGTAAGCCTAGTAGAGATTTTGCCCCTAGATTTTTTTTTTTTTTTTTTTTTTAATAGATCTTGGAGTTGTGGTTTCTCTTTAAGAAAAACTCAATAGATCTTTAAGAGTTCAAGATCTACAAGATCTGTAACTGCAACTCCAAGCTAAGAAGAGAGATTTATCTCTCTTACCCACCTTTTGGTGGAAGACTCGCTACTATTGAGTAGTGGAGTATAAACTAAGACCTGGAGGATTTGTTGAGGGTTATTCAAGTTCTCTTGAGATTTGAATAGACCCTGCCCTTTCACTTAGGTGATTGGGAATGTTGACAACAAAGCTGTTACTTTTGGTAACCTTGAATTATTATGTAGAATAAATTTCTTTTATAAGAATTTCTCGCTTTACCATTGAGGTGGTAAAAGGATTTTAATAGAATCAACCCAGATCCTAAAAGTTCCCTTAATCCTTATGACATCTGGCCAAGAGAAGGATATGGCAAGGGAGGAAGAGCCCACTGCACCTATTGAGGTGGTGAACAATGCTGCTGATATTGGCCTCAATCAAGTTGAGGCAATGGCTGACATTGAGCTGGAAGACATTGAGGACTTGGACCTTGGAGATGAGGATAACAATGTTGAAGCCGATAACCATGGTGAAGCTGATAACCATGGTGAAGTTGAGAACAATGATGAAGAGGAAAACGTCGGTGAAAAGGAGAACACTGGTGCTGAAAATAAATTCACTGAGGGTGAAGGCATGAGTTATCCTATCTCCAAGGAGATTGTCAAGCTCCAAGCTCAAGTGTCAACTCAGAATATCACCATCCTGCAGCAGCAGACGTCCATTGATGGACTCAAGAAGCATAATCAGAACCTTGAGGCTGAGTTGCGCATTGCCACGAAAGAGGTTCGTGACTTCCGTCGCAGCCTGGGCACTAAAAAGCTCCAACTTGAGGAGCTTCAGGATAGATGCAACAATATGCAAGCATCATTCAACAAGCTCCATGAGCAGTTTAGGGAGCTTAGGAGGGAGGGCATTTATCAGCCTCCTCCTGGGCGTAGGCCCGCTCCTGCTGATCAGCCAGCACCTGCTACGCCCGCATCTACGCCTGTAGACGTTGCAACGGCTATGCACCAGCCACCTCCAACCGAGACCACACCATCTGGGTCTCTCTCGGCGCCCCTGCCTGAGTTTATCCATGACAAGACGAAGGTGGAGCCTTGGCTTGACCTGGTGGATACCACCAAGACCCTTGCGAATGTGCGTCCCGAGGCTCGCGTCACCGCGGCTTCTCGTGCATTGGACGAGGTGGCCCGCATGGCAGAGTATGGCGTTAAGAAGCAGGCGCAGGGACCGTTTGAATGGCCGGAATTCTGCACCGCGCTGAAAGAGGCATTCATGGTCAAGAAGTCCGACTTGGAATTGCGCGGACCCCTTGAGAGTATCAAGTGCCGTGACCGTTCGGTGCAGCAATATGCGGTCGAGTTCGAAGTCGCAGCACGCATGCTCCAGAAGCCCTTGTCCGATGAGGAGATGATGCACACCTTCATGAAAGGCCTTCCTGTCAAGCTGCAGCAGGCACACGTGACTGGTGGCATGACCAATTGGACGACTTACAAGGAGATGAAGGAGCAGGTGATCAAAACTGACAACATCATTCGCACGTGCATTTATGGTACCGAAAAGCCAGACCAGCAGCCTCGTGCTGAAGGCTCTGGTGGTCATGGGAACTGACCCCAGAATGCCACGGGTGGAGGCGGTTGGAACACGCGGCCTTTCTAGCAGCGTGATCACCAGCCCGGACTGCAGGCCCAGCGAGCTAACGGAGGGGGAGGGCGTGGCCCTAACACCCCAGACTTCTCCGATATGCAGTGTAGAGGCTGTGGAAGGATGGGGCACATCGAAAAGCAGTGCCGTGACAAGAACGCAATCAAGTATTCTGGGAAGCCTAAGCCAGGCGGCGCTAAACCTTCTGGAAAGAAGGATTTTCAGAAGCCCAACTAGGGTGTGGGTACCTAGTTGGAGGAGTAGATCGAGTTGATGAGGCATATCTGCTATGTGATGATGATATATTAAATCTAGAGAAGCTTGCTGATTGCAAAGTCTCTTGTTTGTTTGCCTCTTCTTTTAATATAAAGTCTATTTTTTATCCTCGATCGTACCCACTTGAGAAAAATTCTATGGAATCAATGCAGGATAAGTTTCCATTCATTTTATGTGGCTTGGACATTCTGCCTTGTGTCATTGAGGTTGTGAGTCGTTGCACTCAAGAGCACCCCCTGACTTCGGTCGCGTTGGTGACTCGCACAGTGAAGGGCGAATTGTTCCATATGCTTCGTGGATGGCCGGTCCTAGCGGCGTGGGACAAGGGACACCATGTGTGGTGGACCAACTCTGAGTCATATGGACGTGCTCGTCACAATGTCAAGGCGTACTTCACACCTTCGACGAATATTGCGGCATGTCCTATTCGCCCAAAGCATCAACAAAGTTTGTTGCTTGCGGGTAGCGTGAACGGGGAAAACGCAAAAATCCTTGTTGATACGGGTGCAACTGTTTCCCTCTTTGACGAAAAGTGGGTCACAGCACGCGCGATCCTCGTTGAAGGACCGTCTTGCCCCATTCGCCTTGGTGATGATAGCACCATCCCAAGCAAAGGACGGACACAGATTAACATATAGATTGAAGGTTATCGCAAAGAAATTCGCGCGTATGTTTTACCCCTTCTTGCGGGCGTCGACCTTGTCCTTGGAATGCATTGGCTTCGAGCGAATAAAGTCAAACTCGATTTCCAGGAAAATACGGTCTCATTCTCAAAGAATGGTGACACTGTCCAGTGGCAAGTGCCTAAGGACTTGATCACGAACGACCAACCCACGTTGGAACGCCCCGACGTGAGTTTTGCGCTTGCGAATGAGTTCAGACAGCATGTTCGAGAAGCTGATACCTTCTTTGTGGTACAGCTTGAGAATGCTGAACACGAACTGCCTGGGGTCGAGGATTTTCCACCTCAGATGAAAGCACTTGCAGACAAATTTGTGGAGGTTTTTGAGCCCATCCCAGATGGCCTTCCACCGGTCCGTGCTGTCAGTCATACCATCCCCGTGGATTCTGGAGAACTCCTACCTTTTAGACCTCTGTATTGCCCCAGTCCAGCTGAGTATGTGGAGGCTAAAGAACAGATTGAGGAATATCTCAGGAAGGGAAGAAGCGCATCACCTTACGGAGCGCCGATCTTGTTCGTGAAAAAAAAAGGCGGAGTGTTACGCATGTGCGTAGACTACCGTGCTCTGAACAAGATAACGGTGAAGAACAAGTATTCCCTACCGAGAATAGAGGACCTGTTCGACAATCTCCAGGGTGACCAGTGGTTTAGCGCATTGGACCTCGCGCAGGGGTATCTCCAATTGCGCATCACTTAAGAAGATGTACCCAAGACGGCTTTCCGATCGCCGTATGGTCATTTTCCGTGGCGAGTGCTGAGCTTTGGCCTAACCAATGCTCCTGCCTCTTTTCAGAGAGCTATGAATGATGTTTTTTGCGAGGCGATTGGACAGTTCGTTCAGGTCTATCTGGATGACATCTTGGTTTATTCCAAGACAGAAGAGGAGCATACGCGACACCTTAAGTGGGTGTTGGGGAAGTTACGAGAGCATACGTTCTATGCTCGTCTGTAGAAATGTCATTTCTACAAACGCGAGTTGGAATATCTTGGCCATCTCGTGGGAAATGATGGTCTCAAAGTAGACCCAAAGAAAGTTGTCGCAGTCCAGAACTGGCCGGTGCCACAAGATGTGGGTCAAATCAGGTCGTTTTTGGGACTGGCAAACTATTTTCGTCGATTCTTGCAGAATTATTCTACCGTTGTTGCTCCATTGACGGCCCTCACTCGCAAGAGTAGCGCTTGGCAATGGATACAGCAATGCTACCTAATCCGACGATACCCAATGAGGTTGTTACTGACGCCTCATTGATAGGGATTGGCTGTCGTCTTGCAAGAGGGGAGACCAGTGGCATTTGAGAGTCGAAAGCTCTCCCCGGCAGAGCGGCGCTATACGACGTCAGAACAGGAATTGTTGGCGGTCGTTCATGCGCTACACACATGGTGTTGTTATCTAGAGGGTGTGGATTTTGTGGTTACGACCGACCACTGTCCAAATACCTACTTCTCCACTCAAGCCACGCTTACTCGAGGTCAAGCCCGATGGGCGGAACTCCTTAGTGGGTTCACTTTCGATATTCGATATCAAGCAGGTTTAGGGTTTAGGGTTGACCCCTTAGCAGACAGCCGATAGGGGCAGCAACACGGCTAGACGACACAGAGGATGCGGCAGTATTTTCTACTTGCTTCAGTGTCCTAGCAACGGCTCGAGTGAGTGAGATAACCTTCGGTGGTTTTCTGAAACGCATCCGCACAGGGTATCAAATTGACTCCTGGTTTCATAACCCAAGAAACTCGAAGGAACTCAAGTGGGAGCATGGGCTCCGGTGGCGTGGAAAGGAGATTGTTGTACCTCACGTAGGTAACCTACGGAATGACATTCTGGAAGAAGTGCATGCCACTAAGTACGGAGGACACCTAGGGGTCAAGAAGACCAGGTGGGCCTTGAGTGATGTGTACTGGTGGCCGGGAATGGGCACTGCGGTCCAGCAATTCGTGGCACGCTGCGACGCATGCACACGAAATAAAACGGACACAAAGAAGCCTGGTGGTTTGCTTCAATTACTCGAGATCCCGAATGAACCTTGCGAGAGCGTGTCCTTGGATTTTATCACAGAACTTTGTCAGAATGTTATTATTGTCTAGCCTGCAGTGGGGTACTCTATAGCGAGTACAACCCAATTAGGGTTTCCTATATGTATGCCAACTGCTGCTAGTGCAAACCCTCTTTCTTGTTCTAAACTTTCTACTGCTAGTTCTGACATGCTATCAGAGCAGGTCGATCCCCTTGGGTCGATCCTGTGGGTGGGCCCGCCACCTATATGCTTCCGCTGCTGACAAACTTCCCAAGACTCGTGATGGCCATACAATGATCCTAGTGTTTGTGGATCGTCTAACAAAAATGGTGCATTTCGTGGCTACGAAAACTGACGTATCTGCGGAAGATACGACCAAATTGTTTTGGCGCACGTTTTCCGCTTACACGGATTACCACGTGTATTGGTGTCCGACTGGGATCCACGCTTCACAAGCCGGTTCTGGCAAGAAGTCACACGGACAATAGGAACGAATCTTAAGATGTCATCGGCGTTCCACCCGCAAACAGATGGGCAGACAGAACGAACAAACCGGACACTTGAGCAGATGCTTCGTTCATTCATTGGCCCAACTCAGGATGATTGGGACGAGTTGTTGCCTGTCGTTGAATTCGCAGTGAACAATTCAGTTCATGAAGGTACACATGAGAAACCTTTTATTCTAAACTGTGGTCGGCATCCCACAACACCCGCTACGCATGGGATCGGTGGATTGAAAATACCAGCCGCTAAAGATTTTGTTAGAGCAGCAAGAAGCACTTAAGTCTGCTTGCCATTGGCTGCAACTCTCACAGCAGCAACAAAAGTCTTACGCCGACATGAAACGCCGGGAAGTCTCATTTGAGGTCGGAGACAAAGTTTTGTTGAGCACGAAGAACATTCGTCTCAAAATCCCTGGAGCACGAAAGCTGTTCCCTCGATGAATTGGGCCATTCAAGGTGATCAAGCGTGTTGGTGTGGTAGCTTACAAGCTTAAGCTACCCAATACACTACAGATTCACAACGTCTTCCATGTGTCTCTGTTGAACAATTACGTTACAGAGGGCAAGTACTTGCCGCCACCAACGATCGTCCTGGGGGAGGAACTATTTTATGAAGTCGAACGAGTGCTGATGCATCGTGATCGGCAGCGCGGCCGCAAGACAGTACGAGAGTTCCTCATCAAGAGGAAAGGCTATGGGCCTGAACACAACTAACTCATGGGAGCCAGAAGAGCATTTGACTGAAAGTGCAGTTCAGTCATACATGGCAGATCTGGCCCGACGAGCAGCCGCACAGCCAGTGAATGGTGTTGACCCTGATCGTAATGTGACACGGCGTGCTCGAAGCGCTCGTCCTAAGAAGCACCCTAAGGCAACGGGGACGTTGCCACCTAGGGGGGGAGGAGTGTAACGCACCACCTAATTGCTACTACTCTTTCCTAGTCTTGGTCAAGAAGTCTCTCGACAGAAATTGGACTACGGGAGTTGAAGGTTGGGTTGGGAGAGAAAGGTTGGCTTGGGATTCCAACCCTCAACTTTGAGGCTTGAAACTTTCCAACCCAACAAATGTGAAGATTGAAAGGTTGGATTTCCAACCAATCAGAACTTGCTAGTTGTGGTTACAATGTAAACAAACAACAAAGCAACCATATAAATCTATTAAGTTGAGTTTTCAAAACCAAACAAATCTGCCACCTAGGCTCCAAGCCTATGAGCTCCCCAACCATGGAAGCCATGGTTGGGAAGAGCCCCCAAGGGGTATTGTGGAAGGGGTGGGAGCTAGCAAGCTCATTCCCACTTCCCAACTCCAACCTACCAATTTGGAAATGAGATTTCTCTAAGTCTTTTGGTTCTCCAGACAAACTCTCCTACACAACTAGAGTGGTGCTTTCTTCAAGGATAACTTCTACAAGAAGCTACCTACTTGCTAAGGCTTCACCAACAACTACAACTTCTCCTCTCAAGATCCTTCGAGCTTAGTCTAAAGCTTGTTTA